TGGATTAAGATAAGCTCGCAGTTGTTTAAACTGAACTATCTAATGAGACCTAGATAACTAGAGACTACCACCTGTTCTATAACAACTGGTAGCCGGCTATTATTTCATTTAGATAAAAGAACTTACTTCTGTACTTACACCATTAAGACGCCTATTATTACTCAGAAGCAATACAGAAGGCTAAATTTGAAAATATAAGCTAAGTCAAAAACTTAGCGGCTAAACATGGCTCGTTTAAAAACGACTTGATATGGCCAATGGCCGTCTGTTACTAAACGTTTACCCATCTACTCCAACAAGAGCAAGACATCCGGCGACGCTCATCCCGGTGAATTCGTCGCAGAGAGCATCTTCCATCCTGGTGGCACATTGCTCTATAAATTCAAACACAAGCGGCAACGACTGATTAACCCAATAAGAGCTAATTCACAACCATTAAACCAGAATAATCTAAAATGGAACCTAAACGGCATAAACAAAGCCGCATGTCTTATTGACACCAGCCGATAACCAGCCGTTATTCCAGCTTAGATTAATATCTCATGATAATTGAGTAACCTAAGAAATTCCCACAACGGGGCAAAGGGACTTTGAGCAGCCTATTCTAATACAAACGGTCCAAGATCAGAGTCCCTTTGGCAATATTGATACGGTCAATGATCGTCTGATACTATATTCGGATGCTTAAATGGACGACTGTCCGCTTGATTTGGGGTAATCAACCCACTTTTGGAACCAAGTGCACATCCGTCCAGGGCAATTACATTCGGTATACCGCATGTTCTACGCACTTAGCAAAATTGATGCACATAAAAAAAAATGCAGGGAAAACCGACCCAATGGCCGGCTGCTTCATATAAAACCGACTCCATGATCGGTCAAAAGTAAGTGTTAACCGATTTTACAATCGGTGAGAAGAAGAAATTGTTAATCAAACCCGACTCCTCAGCCGGTAAAGATACATATATACTCAGCGCGCAGGCCGGAAAAGTAATTGTCAAAGATTTATATTTGATCTGGAGGGGAGGACTCTTCTACATTCTCATCCGGCTTTTCACCAGCATCAGCCGGATGATCCTCTTCAAGCTCAAAGTCCTCATTCTCAGCCATGTCCTCTTCATCATCAGCTCCGCCATTTTTCTTCGCCTACAGCCGCTCCTCGTCAAGCTCTTCGGTGGCTTGCTCAAAACGATACTCCCAAACGGAGTAATCGTCGTCAGGATACAAAGCCTTCCAAGCCATTTTCATCCGGATGGCAGTCGGCTTCGTTCTCCTTGACCAGCTGCCTCTTTTCCTCCTCGGGCTAGCTTGGAACTTCTTTCTCGGCTGCTCCTCCTCCTCCAGGTTGGCGAGTTTTCTCTTCAGATTCTCGTTCTGGCGGCGGAGGCTATCTATTTCCCTACTGACATCCTCATGCTTATCAAGCTCGCCCTCAAGCTCAGATACCCTCTTCTGGGCCTCCAGGTTGGCCTCCGCCAAGAATGCAGGATATCACGAGTCAGTGCCTCATTTTTTAATATGTCAAACATGGCTTGATCAAGAACAGAGGCGGCCCTTTCTTTGGTTCTCTTTACCTCTTTTTGTTTGTCTGAGAACGGCTTTTTGAGCCCGTTCACTCGCAGCATGGCCTGCATTCGGCAAAGAAGATCATCAATAAAGACGGCATGAGAGGGGTTAGAAATATTTTCTAACTTAAAAACAAGTTACCTCAACTAGAACTGTCAAAATGGCATCAAAGTTCGAGGGTGTCAACCCCCCTCACAGTAGCGGTGAGTGGCTTGGCTTGGCTTGCCACTCTTCGAAGCCGCCCAAAGGGCGTCCGGATTTTTAAGGGCTCCAAGAAAAGCAGGCGACTTGCCGGCAATGGAGGGGTGAGAATCATTCCCAGTGGCAGCAGATGGATTTTTCTGCGTCACGGTTTTCCTCGATTTAGAGGGCATCCGATCCTCCTCTGCAAACAGGTGCTTCAGTGGCTTGTCGCCAAAGGCAGGCGGCCTCATTGATCCCTCCTGAAAATCAAGAAAAGCCGTCAAATTTAAGACTATAAGGTCCGCTTGACTGCAACAATTGTAGAATACTTACATGTTCCGGCTGGTCTTTTTTGAAGATCTGGTTTTTCTGCCGGATCATTTGGCGATAGGTGGCAGCAGAGCTCGCGGGTTTCTTACTCAGAGATAGCTGCGACATTGCTTCTTCTACAAAAAAAGGCCGGATGAGCGTCAGTAAGAATTAAATAAAAATAAAAAAATAAAAAAACAAGAATCAAATATATATATTGCTAGGTGTTTTCATCCGGCCAGCTACCTTTTGTTTTTTCCGTGCTAAGACCACAGGCGCCTAAATAAAAAGGGTCCCTCAGCCACTCAAACCTAGGGATGTAACTATGGGGAACTATCTCCCTTTCGTTCCCACCCTCTAAGGTTTTAGTGGAAACCTTAACAAGCCGGGCGTCAAAATTTAATCCTAGGCGGGAGGATCGCCTTCTGGCCTAGAAGGTGTGGGTTCCTATTCCAAGTGTTATACTTCCGGTTCTACCTAGGATCTGGAGAAGAGATGACGTAAAACCGGCTTCGCCAGTCCTTTCACTTTAACTCCTTCCCCAGGGTCATCATGAACCCCTTGTGACAAGTTAAGGTGTACCACCCAGGCCGGCTGACTTAGGAGCCTTGCTCAAATAATGCATTAAAGCAAAGGCCTCAAAGCCCGGATTCACCCCCTACATCTTACAGGCGGCGACGTACCCCAGAATGTTCACCCACGAGTAAGGGGCGAGCTGCCAAATACCCAGGCGGTATCCGTCCAGGATTTTCTCAACATCTTCATCAAGCGGGAAGGCACCTGTATCGCAGCTTCATAACAGCCGAAGCATTGATCCCCGTAACTTTGATTGAATGGCCAGACGACCGTCAAGGACATGAATCTTATATCCGGCCCCCATGACATAGATGTCTCGGATTTCCTTGAGTTTTTTCAGCATATTTCTCTTAATCCCAACAGAGACATGGGTGAAGTAGGGGGTGAGTTCATTTTGACTAGAGGAAGAAGCTTCTCCTCTTTCAGGAGAGGCGGCCTCCTCCTCAAGTCAGGGAAGACTCAGAGCTTTTTAGCTCTTCATGGGACACAGGCGGCTCAGTTCTATCTTCGGAACCGCCTGAAACAGCATCCGACTGGGATGACCCTTGTTCAGAGAGTCGGATGCACTATCATCAGCCCCATCATTTGACTCGTTCAGGATGGAGTCATCCGGCGTGCTTGGAGTCCGGGTGGGTGATCAAAAACCTCATCTCTTGGCACCCTAATAGCGCCGGCATCTTCCTCATCAATAGGGCCCTGGGCCGTCTTTTTAGTTCTGACCATAGTGTCCTCCACAGAGACGGTCGGATTCGGGGATGTTTGCAAATGGGAGTCCAAGTGGGGGCAGGCGGCACTCTTAGTTCTAGATTCAGCCGTCCCAGGTGACCGCCAAATAGCTATCCTTTGTCGTGCCGTGTGTGTTTGTGAAACCATTTTGAAAAACAAGGTATAACAAACATAAACGGAAAATTAAAGAACAAGAAAGAGATGAAGCAGGCGGTTACCTTGTATTAAAGGTACTGAAGGAGCCTCTTGGAACGTCTGTAATGTAGGCGGATCGAACTCAAGCGGCAATAAACAAATTCTCTCAAAAGTCAAAGATTCTCTTGTCTGAAAATTTCCCGTGAATATGCGAAAATGAGGGGATAAGGACATATATATCGAGGGGTAAAAATCCATTTACACCAGAAGGTAAAGAGTAAAAATGTTGTCCACCCATGCATGCGTGACACTTGTCACAGGCGTCACATAGCGTACCACGTCACCCCTGCGAGGGGCAAATAATTTGGGTATTATTACTCCGCCACGTGGACCAACCAGAGCGTGACACGTGTCACCCTAGGGGGAGCCCAAAGTGGACCTAACAGGCAGATATGGGATTGGCAGTCTACAAAGCCCAATTCCTTAAACTGCCCGGAAAACCCGCAGCCCATAAGTCCTAGGTTTCCGTAACCTAGTACGGGTGCGCGAATCCCAATGACCCTATAAATAGGGAGATTTACCCCACCTTGGAGAGGACGATTAATCTAATCATTGAATACACCGAATTCTCTCGAAAACGGAGAAAAACACATGATCTCGAAATCCAAGAAGATCCCACTTTACTTTCCGTACTTTTTTACATTCTCCGGACACTATCTAACTCGATCGTCGGAGGCAGAACTCCACCCAACCGGAGTCTCCGTTGTTTTGCAGGTACAGGCGCCCGAAATCCAGTCTTAGTGACGTAACTCTCCCGAGGGACACAGAAAACTCCAAAACAGTTCTCATTATGGATGAAAGGGAGGCAGTTTGCGCTGACAATGAACAAAGCTTTATGGAAGCGAAAAATTTATAGGATAAATATAGCAGTGTAACATAAAATTTCAGATGTAAGAGATAGCAAAGTGAGTCAGCAAGATCAAATATGGTTCGATAGCTTATAGAGTATTGTATGTTAAGACCAAGCTAGACAGCTTTGTTTGTTAGTCTTGTCCCTTTTCAGGACTTTGGAGTCCTTCCTACAAGGTTTATCTATTGGGACAAAGACTTACGATGTAAATTTTTGTAAAGATGGGTAAGTAATACAAAAGCTTACTTGCTCATCAGAAACTATATACAATATAATTCTAATAATTAAATCATTATTCATTGCCATAATCTTTACTTGTAGACTCAATTTCTTATTCGATATCTACGAGTATGGCCAAAAACAACGATGGAACTTCATTCCAACAGCCTTTATATTCATAACATGCAGAAGTTGGTCTTCCAATTAAGACCATAATTTAATATGTATGACACCAACTTCAAATTACTAGGCTACTAGCTATTCTACATATTATCCAAGTTTAAAAGGGTGTAAAGACTGTAAACAGTAAAAGACATAGTAAAACACCAATAGAACCATACTAAAAATAAATAATAAAAAAGAAAAGAAAACTCACCGAATTTAACAAACTGTAATGTCTGTTATCAAAATGCTTATCAACATACTTTTCTGCATAAAATGTCTTTTTACAGTAGCCACATTTCCATTCATTTACGTCAGGATTTATCTTGTGCATTTCCTGATCCCTGAACATGTCATTATCTGGGTGAAGTCTACACTTGGTTGATACATGATACTTCTCTTTCTCCACAAAAGGCATGAGATACTGCATTGATAATATATTACTCCTTAGGATTTTAAAAGTAGCATTCAGAACTTATTTCCTACTTAACAAAGTAAAAATGCACCTCATCAATAACTTTCCATGCCGCCCTGCTCCTCTCTCGTGAGCAATGTATCTCATGAGCATTCTCCTCGTGTTGCTGAATTTTTCTGACATTCAAATCCAAAGATAAGAGTAAAAAGGAATATGGCACAAGTTTAATCAGCACATATATTTCTAAGCACCTACATTCCCAAAAATAAATTGTAATGAAGCTAGGTGAAAAAGTAGTGACAGCACATTCTGCTAGAAATTACTGCAAATCCTATTACCTTATACCTGTACGATCTTCAAGTTCCTGCATATCATCGTAAGGAAAAGTCACTGTTAATCATCACAACATGCAGTTATTAAAATAGAATAGTTTTAGAACAAGATATCAACTAAGATAAACCAATCCAATACAGTATAGACAGTTCACTTGCCTAAGTAAAACATTATAGTCACAATTCAACCAATAATGAAATATCGTTAATGTTTCTAAACTAAATATTTTCTATAATTGCAAATGAGGCACACTTTACAATGTTTACTCAGCTGCCTGACTAAATTCACCTAGAACTCTAGCTTCGGAATTTCTAATAAATGTGAGTAACACCCCTTGAAACCTGCATTGAAATCCATAACCAATACAAGATCCAGGAAACCTCTTGATCAAAATTGGATTAAACTGAATACTCAAGCGGTCAAGCCTCATTCAAGAATTTCAAACCAATAACTGGAATCGCAAGTGCTTTTCGAGAATGCTATGGAAACTGATTTTGGGTTCCATGAAAAAGCAAGGCTGCAAACCCCCTCCACAGGTGAACTGCTTGATATCCTGAAGAATTTGCAGATTTTTATATAGAAAAGATGGAATAATATCATGATTATCATCCTTACATCCTTAGTTCTAACTCAAGTTAGGAAACTTCTTACCCATTGCATCCAAACAGGCCCCGAAGATCTCGAACCTATAATATTGTATCCAAATACAAGCACCTGATCATTGCGACTACCTTATAGAACATTCAACTTACCCAAAGAAATCCTAACAGACCGGCGAATGATTTGGATGAACAAGGAAAAAAAGAGACTGATCCAATTTTTAGCGCTAATTATCATACCAACCATTGATAGAATAAACTACTACTAATCTGGGTATCACAATCCTTCTGTGAATGACTAACTAATCACTTTTATTCTATCCAAGTTCGCTTTGCATACATAATCATTGTAATGATGGTTTCCAGCTTTAATCTTACTACCTCCATTCATATAATTTGGAACGATTAGACTCTTACTACTCACACTTTATGTCAAATCGTTGCAAATTATATGAAACAGAAGTAGTACAACAAATCAGCATTGCCAATAAAATTGATAGAGCAGGTATAAACCATCCATCTAATTCAGCCCACATAAATAAATCAATTGGGGCATATGCAGTCTTTTACATCACCCCTCATAAAACACAGAATCGCCAACATCTTTGGTTTTAATAAAGTCATATACATTACATAGCTAAGATTTGTGTCCCTAATGTCAAAGCTATGTTTACTTTGTCGAATTTAGTTGTCACATAATACACGATAACTTTCTTACTTTTACATAGTTACTTGTCCGAATTTAGTTGTCACATTACAAAATCAAGTGAAGCGCAAAACTTGCTCATCATAGCTCAAAACATGACTCCCATTACCCAATTCAACAATATTCGAAAATTACAAAGGAAGGTACTCAAATCAGGAAATATGCATACGATACATTAAGATCAAAATCAAAAGCAATCACCTGAGATAGGAGAGAAGGAGATGAAGCTTTGATCCATTGGAGAAATGGGAAAAAGCAGAGGAGAATGACAGCGAAAACGAACTGGTTACCCATTTCACGAATAATTAGGAAGGGATTAAGGAGCTATTTTCGTGGGATTTCTGCTACCATTTCTCTCCGATTCACATTTACACCATGTGTTTTTCTTAATCAAACTTTTAGAGCATGGTTTGTAAGAGTAGGTTTGAGGGGAGGATCTCAAGGACTCTATTAATTAGAGTCATAAATGACTCTAATAAGGGTATATTCGTCCATTTACTTATACCGCACTTGGAAAAAAAATGTCATAACACGCGTTGGTATTTCACATGATACCAATAACAAATTATATTAATATCAACAAAACATTTTTGCATTCGTTAGTATTACTAAATAAGGTTATTGGTATCATGATGATACCATCTAAAGTATAATAAAATTCCAACGCGTGTTATGACAAAAAAAAATTTCCTAATGCTGAAATATAAATAAATGGACGAATATGCCCTTATTAGAGTCATGTAATTACTAGAAATCCTCATGTTTGAGGTTGGAATTTGAAAACAAATACTAAGAGCAACTTTAATGACAAGTTCAATTTAGTTTGTCATGCCCACATACTTTCTCTGTTCTTTTTTATTTGGCTCTCTTTGACTTTTACATTATTCTCCAACGTTCTTTTGACTGTCTTTTGTGAATTATGTTTAAGAAAAAACATATTCACGTGAGATCTTGTTAGAATTGTTTTATTGAGTATTATCATAATATATAACTTTTATATTTATTTACGTTGGGAGAATAAGAGTGATTGATGGTTAAAGTTTTGTATTGGCAAGCGTGATAAATGAAACGGATAAAGTAAAAAAGAACATAGGTTATTAGCTTATTATTTAAATATATACTATATATTAAAAGGCGTTCATTTCGAAGGAACGGTGCCACGTGGCACTATTCAAAGTATTTGCACAATGCCATGTCACTATCCAAAGGTTTATGCGCCACATAAGCTTGTCACTTCATTTAACAAAATAAATTATGTTTTGAGCGAAAATCGAACCCGTAACCTCCAAAATACAAAGGTCATACATTTACCATCTCAACCACCTTTGATTAATGTCTTAAATTTCACATAATTAACATTATATATTCCTTTAATACATTAAGTAAATTAGAGGTTGTATTATTTTATTTATATTTCACAAGATTAGAAAATAAATACATACAAGGTAATAATAATAATAATAATAATAATAATAATAATAATAATAATAATTATTATTATTATTATTATTATAAAAAAAAAACAATAACATCCGAAACAACGCCCGAACCACATACTAACTATACAAACAGTAGAACATAATTATCAAATTAAAAAAGTACAAACTAGCAACCCAGGGCATCGCCCGGGCCACACACTATTTATTGCATTAATTTATTGTTTTCATCTTAATCACTAATTTCTTTTGTATTTTCTTTCGGGCAAGTTAATTTGTTTGGTCAACCAATTGCATAATCTAGCTCCCATGGTCAAGCTAGTAGTTAGGGACTATTTAAATTGTTAACAAGTCCATAACTACAATCACTGGAGTTGCTCTAATAAAATCATCAACCTTTTATTTGCACTCGATGCGTGCAAGAACATATAAACATCAATAATGATATAAATAATACATAAAAGTACTATAATTTTATCATATTAGGTAATTATTGTTTTGTAGATGAAATTTTGATTAATGGAGGAGTAATTTTACCATAATATGAAAACATGATTTGATTTTATGGATTGATTGATTTGTTAAATGCACTGACTGTGGGTTTGATGAAATTATGAGGATTGATTAAAGATTATGGAGTAAAACATGACATAATCTAATGAGATCATTTGGTAGAAGATTAAAATTAATTGATTAAATTAATTAAAGACATAATTGATTGATGATTAATGAATGAACGATAAAAAAATTAAAATGTAAAAGTATTCTTTAAGAAACCTCTTTTTTGTACAAGTCTAGAGGGGTTTTAAAGTTTTTTCGGGGGGGTTACAACAGTCTCATTCCTTAGCTTATATAATAGAGATTATCATTACCGGGTGTTTAGTTACAAAGTTTAGGTAACAATTAATATTACCCCTGGATAATGGTTTCCACCCATTTACTTCCTAGCCAAAGCGCAATTCACCACGTGAAAGTTCGTTACTACCAATAGATCCTTACTTAGACTCTTCCTTCCCAATAGCCACTTGCTCACGACCTTTCGACTCTCACTAAAGAAAAGAAATTCACCCTTAACTTCTCGTACCGGATAGGTTCCTGGACTTGGAGCTGACAAATGCGCCGTTTGAGTGATCAAATCCGCTGTTATGAGCTAACGAGTTTTCCTTTTTTTTTTCTGCTGAACTCGGAGAAGAGGAGGTAGCGGTTCATGCTTGAATTGAATCACTTGACTTTGGCCCATCTTTTTAAAACCTAAGGTCACCATTACTCTTACCGTCGTCAAACAAAAAGAAACAGAACTATATATATTTGCAATTTACCAAAGAGAAAAAGAGGAAGTTGAGTGTTACCAAAAAGAATTTCTCTAAATTTTTTTTCCATTGTTAAACTTCATAAATGAAAATACAAGTGATGCCTTCCCTCTAAAAATTCTAAGGTGATAAAAAAAATTTGATCACCATAATGTGTCTTATGTGGCAAACTATAGTGGTCCCTCCCTTTATTTTTCGCCTCAAAATTCATTTATGTAGTAAATGATTTTCAAAAATGTTACAAAAATGTTTTCAAAATCAAATATTAATATTTATGAATATCAAAAGTTGTAACATAATTAATTAATTAATTAGTTTATTAATTAAAAGAAGATAATGCTAATTAATCTCTCTCTTAAGGTTACTTTACCCCTTTATCTCTCCTCCCTATCTCTCTCCTCAATCATCGTAATCTATCGCTGACGGCTTTTTGAAAATGGCAAAGTCGTGGTGAACATCACCATGGTCTTTATAAACGTCTTAAATGGAGTTCATATTCGTTGAGTCTATCTTAATCTCTCTCTCTCTCTCTCTCTCTCTCTCTAACCCCTTTCTCTTTCCTCTTAGCCACCGTACTTCATTTTTCAAATACGACAAGGTCGTGTATAGAAATCTTATTACTTGTGTTTTGGGTCTAAATTGTCCGAAATTGAATTTTAGATCTTAAAAATTGCAAATTTGATAAAATCATTTTTTTTTAATAAATGTGTTATTTAGAGTTATTATGGCGTTTTCAGAAATATTAACGACTTATAAGGTAGAAAATTACTTAAAATATCCAACAACTTACTTCCTCCGTTTCTTTTTAGTTGACATGTTTCTTTAGTCGCGTTTGTCAATGCATAAATTAAATCGTTAATATCTTTAATTACCGATAAGAAAAAATTATAAAAAGTTGATACTTTGAAAGTATATATCATGACAAATCTAACAAAACCCCACATAACTATATTTTTCATTACGTATAAATCACAAACCCTGGTCAAAGGAAAGTGTGTAAATAGTGCTAAAGTCAAAACGTGTCAACTAATAAAAAACGAAGGTCGTATAATGTACTCCATATTTACCAAATAATCATTATGTAGGCGTTGTCATATATACAAGTGGTAGTTACTAAAAAAATATTAATTCTAGTGATCCAAATTACTTATCACCTTAAGTTATTTTTAAGTGATATACGAGCCCCCTCAATTTTTTTGGTAGAAATATACTTAGCCATGTCCAAAACTTATAAGGTATTTTCCAAATAAATTTTATGTAGGTATTGTCCATAAATACAAAATGGTATTTACCAGAAATATTACTTGTGGTGATCAAAACACGTTAAGTTATTTTTTGTCACCATTAGAAATACAATGTGATAAGCACATATTATATAACTAAACTATTTGAGTTGTTGTTTCGATGGCAAATACCATCTACCATGGTTGGAAGTAACCATAATCCAATCTACTATAAAACCAAAATAATAACGGCATCAAAGTTAGGTAATGTCCATATACGTTGTTGGTTGTAGCCAACATACATCTTAGGAAAATATTTGATCACAGATATGGAAAGTACGTAAATCAAAATTATCACAATTATGTAATTTGGTGAATATTATGTGTCTAAGTTAGATTCCAAAGTGGTAAGTAGATGATATTGGCTAAAATATGTGCATATTATAAACTCTAGCTCTAAAATATGTGCATGGTCTATAAACACTAGCTCTAAATCATGTAATTGTAAGATATTCCAAAGCATCTTGATGGACCTGGTCGTCTCCGGCTGCAATTATGCGATAATAATCTGGACCTGCAACACCAATAGAATTATCATGTACAGAAAATCCATTTTAGATTACTAGTTGAGTTTGTCATTTGCCAATCATTTATATATATATATAGTATTCAAAAGCCACAAGCATATTTTTTTGTTTTATGCCCCAAACCCCTTCCTCCGCCAGGCTTGGGCAGAATAGCAGAGCAAGTACAAGTATTAGTAGCATAGCAAAAATGCGTTCCTCGTCATGTCATTAATATGTTTTATGTTTGCTCGCGGTAATTGCAGCCTCTCGGGAGAATCAATGACTGCATCTTTGATGCACTGCTAGTACATCTGAGAATTCTTAGTTGGCTAGTTGTAAATAGCCTCGAACAAAAGATTATTCTACACCTACACCGAAGTATTGACGGAGATTTTCAAATAGCTCAGAACAAAATGAGAATGTGATATGACGAGATAGAAATAAAACAGGGATGGGGTCACTCACTTACCTACTCTTAACGGTCAAAGTGAGCCCCTTCATTCTGAATTAAAGAATGAAGAATGAATCCAATCTCCCCAAGTAGGATTCAAACCTACGACCAATTAGTTAATAGCCGACCGCTCTACCACTGAGCTACTGAGGAACAACGGGAGACTCGATCTGATAGAGTTCAATTCCCGTTCTCAAACCATGACCAATATGAGCTTGAAGCTTCTTTCGTAACTCCCGAAACTTCTTCGTAGTGGCTCCCTTCCATGCTTTATTATATAGGGAACCTCAAAGTGGCTCTATTTCATTATATTCCATATTCCATATTCCATCCATATCCCAATTCCATTCATTTAATATCCCTTTGGTGTCATCAACATAAGAGATGTGGGTTCTAGTCTATCTCTTTCCTATATATGGAAAGTTAAAAAATCATCATTTAATAATCC